GCTGGGTGGGGGAGTTTGGAGGAAGTCACCTGAGAACACTGGTCTTTGCTTAAGTCGGCTCCTTAAAGCCATGTAGGGCTATCCAGCTTGGTTGGAAGATGGGGGTGTCTATGTGAAAATAGGTGGAGATAGAACTGAAGGTGCTGGGGGTGGGAGGGTTGCTCAAAAATGTAAGCAGGGTGGCAGAAGAACCTTTTTCCCAGTCTGGGTTCTGAGGCAGTGGAGTGCAGAGCAATCTCGGTTCCATTCGCATTCGCCTTCCTCCTTCCGCCCCAGGACCTGAGGCCAATCTCTTTGAAAGATCCTTATGCTGCTCTGTCATTACTGACCAGAGGGGCTGAGTTGGGGCTTTTTAGGACACCTAACCTTTCCACCCCATCTTCACTCTTGGAAATCATCTCCAAGAACAAATGGCCTCGAGAAGCTCTGAGGATCTCAAACACAAAAGAATGTGTAGCTTAGTATCTATGCTGCCCAGAGAAAGCAAAGAATTAGATTAATCAGGGACTTTTCTAAAAGAATCTATTTATCTGGCTTGACCTAAATATTTTAAGCGAAAGAGTGTTTAGGTGCAGTTGAAAGGAGTATAGTCTAGAGTCACTTTGTGGAATAGAAGTCAACGTAGCCAAAGCTAGAAGTAGCCCCCTCTGCATTTACTGCAGCTCCGCATCCCATACGCCTGCACCTGGCTTTCCAGGACACAGGGCAGGAAGGAGTAATAAGGGGGTGGAAGAACTGGACAAAATGACCTTGACTGACTCCAGTTTCCTGTGTAAATTTAACATTTCCTCCCAGGACCTGATTTTATAGCTAGAAGATAATGATTCAATTATATATTATGTGGGAGAAATATCAGAGAATCCAAACTCAAAAAAATTGTGCTTCAGGGAGCCTAGAATACATATGTCTTCTTCCTTTAGCGATTTAGAGGAAGGCGAGATTAGTAGCTTCTTACTTTCTCAGCCATTTGGATTTGGGTTTTCTGGGGGAGGGGCAGGTGGAGACTGGATTAGGGAGAAAGGGAGCAGGTTTTAGGCGAGGACTAATCATTCCTAACACTACTTCCTGGGCACTAGGCCTGCATCCCTTTCTTTGCTCTTTCAACATTGTGAGATAGTTGTTATTAACCCCATTTTACCAATGAGAAACCACGGACTCAAATGAGTAGCTAATGTTACTCAGTGGTTTCCAACCCAGTGCCCCAACGCTTTTTCTTACTTTCTTTTTTTTTTTTTTTTTTTTGAGATGGAGTTTCACTCTGTCACCACTCTGGAGTGCAGTGATATGATCTCAGCTCACTGCAACCTCCCCCTCCTGGGTTCAAACAATTCTCCTACCTCAGCCTCCCCAGTAGCTGTGACTACAGGCACGCACCACCATGCCCAGCTAATTTGTATGTATTTTTTTTTAGTAGAGACAGAGTTTCACCATGTTGACCAGTATGATCTTGATCTCTTGATCTGCCCGCCTTGGCCTCCCAAAATGCTGGGTTTACAGGCGTGAGCCACTGTGCCTGGCCTAACCCAACCCAGTGCTTTTTCTACTGCACTTGCCTGTGGGAACAACTGGAGAGAGATTGGACAGGGAGGGTAAGACGGGGTTGAGCTAAGATTGGAGGACATGGGGCACAGGAGAGGGAAGGCGCACCAAGAGAAAAGCCCTGCCTGTGAGCAGGGGCTGGGAGCTGGGATGAGAGAAGCAGCACCAAGAAAGATAGGATTCTTTTAAAAACAAACAAACAACAACAACAACAAAAACCTTTCATGTAGCTTGTTGGAAATGTGAATTTGGGATCCACTGAGGCTCATTCACATGAGACTTAGAACCTGTATCAGTAACCACGATGAGTTTACATCATTATTGTTGTCTCCTGAGGTAGCGCATTTGAGCTACCTCAGGATATCCAAAGGAGAATAGAGGGAACTGGGGGGCTGAGAACTGATGCCCTACAAAACCAGCACCTCAGTGGAAAGGAGGAATAAAGCCCAGGAGGGATGTGGGGGTGAGGGTTTGTGTCTGCCTTATGTGAACATATGGTGTGTGCGTGTGGGTGTGTGGGTGGGGTTGTCAGGAGAGTGATGGGTGACTGTGTTTGTGAGCTGTGTGTGTCTGCTTTATGAGGGTGAGAAACTGAGTGGTGTGTGACCTGGTGTGAGGTCGGATGTGTGTGCCTCCATGGTGGGTGGGAAGCTCGGTCGTGACCTTAGGGACACCTGGAGGAACAGACACTCTTGGATTTGGAAGGAGGTTACCAAATGCAGACATCACAGTGACACTGCTGAGTTCTCCCCACCCGCTCTGTACCAGATCGCATCTCCTCCAACTGAACCCCACAGGGGAGCTGTGGGATGGGAGTGCAGGGAAGCCATGTTAAAAGGGGCTCAGAAAGCCCTAACCAGAGTTACCAGTTAGGAAATTTCCTCTCTTGTATAATCACACCTCTGCCTGTGTCTAAGAATTTTCAGTTCTATTCTTTAGATACTGCTACATTACTATTTTTACTGGAAACCAAATTCTAAGCTGACTTTCTTATTCATTTCTCTCCTCAGTCCCTCATTTTAATACCCTCCTATTGAATTCTAGGTCCAGGAAGCCAAAGGCAATTTTCTCTCAAATATTTGACCCAAGTGTTGCATTATCAGCCACACCCTCACTCTGGGACAAATTCTTCTCCCACCCAATTCCAGGCATGGAAAGTGTTTTGTTGATAAGTTCTTACAGTCACAGGAATCATCCTAGTCAGCAAACCGTGGGAGAGACAGAAATAGAAACAGCAAATCTGACCAAACCAAGGTTCATGTTTGGGTGTTTTCATTTATCAAGCACGCAAATCTCTGAGCCTCAATTCTGATATTTGTATAATGAGAATAAGAAACCCCTAGGATTATTGTGTGCAGAAAATGAAGAATTCTATATAAAAGATCGTATACTGTTATGACACTCATGGCTAAAGGGTAATTCTTAGATTGCAGAAAGATTAAAGGCTACAGTTTGGAAAGACTGATAGCATATGATTGGTTTCAGAATGTAAAAAGGGAAGCTCTCGGGCGTGTTCCTGACTGAGGATCTCATAACATTTAACTTGAGGAACTTCCTCCTTTTCCAGCTTTGGGAGTCAAGGTGAGACTCCCAGGGACCTAGGTAGGAAGTATCTGAAGACTTGGGAGAGGAAGCACAGCCCTTGGGAAGTCTGATAAAGGGAAGAGATTGCAGTCCACGTGGCAGAATGGCCATTGTTTTCTTTCTCCTTAATGGATATTAAGACTTATTGGTAAGAGCACTTAGGATGGGTAAACTGACTTACATAGATAAATACAGCATGTGTAAATGATAATTTCAAGTTTATGCCATTAAGCTCCTGGATTCTAAGTAACTAAAAACACAGTTTATTAAATTAAAGGACAAGTTAGGTAGTGGCTATAATTAACAAATCCTATAAACCTGCCTATCAGCATGCAGACTTGTCTTCATAATTGAGTGACTTTAAGAAGGGATGTCTTCTCTGCCTTCGCCTCACAAACCAACATCCCCCCAGTCCCCAATGCGATTCCTGAGGTTGGTAATCCACCAGAGACACACAGGCCCCTATGTCTGAAAGTCCTTCTTGAGGTCTGCATGTTCAAGGTTTGAAAGTTGGAATCTGGTTATTTATTTTTTCACCTTCCTTCAAATCACTGGAGGGAAGGAGCAGACAAAACTATAAAAGCATTCTTGGGGCTTTGAGGAGAATGAGGAGCAGAGTTATGGAAGTAAGGGTGGGTGGGTGCATATTTAGATAGGATAGATAAGGAGAAAAGGGGAACCCCCTCCTTGCCACCCAGGCTCTCCCAGGGCCGAAGTGACACCCCCTCCTCCTCCTGCCCTAATCCCCCCATTAAGGCAGCTCTGAGTTTGTTATGACAGCGGCTGAAGGCTGCTGAATTGCTGTTTGCTGTGTCTGCTAATTGGGCTGAAGGGTTGGAGTCTGGACACTGAAAGGGACCATTGTTGCTGTTTACCTTCCACAGCCGCCTCCCTGGGGACCCTCTGGGTAAAGGGGAGCAGCAGCACCCCCTTAGGGTCATTGCACCCATTTCCTGCACAAGGGACTGCAGTAGGGAGACAGTTTGTCTCATTGCCTTAGGGTGGGTTTGAGCTTCTACAGCACAGAGGAGACAAGCCAACACCTGAGCCAGTCTCATCTCCAGGCCAGGCCTAGGGGCCATCCAGGAGCTCCCAGGAGAGAGGAGTTACATGCTTGTCTTTCTCCTCCCTATTCATTCCCTTCTTCTTTAAGGATCTTTGCTTTGCCTCTTCCTCCAGCTAATCAGACTTCATCCCTGCACCTTTTCTGACCTGCTTTCTTCTAGATCAGTGATTCTCAACTTGGTTATGCACTGAATCACCTGGGGAGCTTTTTAAAAAATGTTGATGTTTGGGCCCAGCCCTAGACCCATGAAATCAGAGTATGAGGAAATGATGCCTAGGCATCATTATTATTTAATGTGCACCTGAAGTTATGAACCACTGATGCAGACTCACCTCTCCACCTGGGAAACACACACACACATGTATGCATGTACCCACATGCCTGTGTAGGTGGAACAGACTGTGCACACACAAACACGCCCCGGCCTTTCCCCGCCTTTCCTCCCAAACTCCTGATATCTATAATACTATCAGACAGGTTGTATATCTTTTTAATTATTATTTCTAAATTCCTTGTAGGAGCCTTAGAATTTAGAACGGAATTTAGAGATCTGTACTTTATCTCCCACCTCAATCTGAGCTCTTCCCCAAGGGAAGGGACTATGATTCCACCTCCCTGTGGATGCCCAAATAGGATCTAGAGGAAGAACACGCTAACTTATCAGAGATTCGATGACTTTTGTGCTTTTCCTTCCTCAAAGTAATATTGACGATTTGGAGGTCTTCAGAGAGGAGAAACTTTCTTCAGGTATCATCTTTCTTTCCCTTTTCTTACTGTTTCCAAATGTTTTTGCTTCTTCTCTTCCCTTTAGCTTCTCACCTGGGGCGGGTGGGTGCTCCAACACCCTCCCACCCTCCTTCCTCCTTGTGGACGACAGAGCCACATCCAGCACCACGGACAGCTCCCGGGCGGTGAGTGAGATGGCTGTGCTGACCCCCTTTGAGAGGGTTAGGAGGGACCCTCCTGTCTGTACAGTCAGCTATCAAAGACTCTAAATTTTTGAATCTGTGGGATTTGTTTGCCGTCAGCCGTGGAGTCTCAGGGAGAGGCAAAGGCTGAGGGAAGTTGGCATTCTGTCTCTGGGCAATTGGGTTTGTCTTCATGTTTGGAAGTCTGAATGAGAAGGGCTGCTCCAGTAGTAGGAAGAATGAAAGTTATATTTCAAGAATGATTTAACCTAGGTCATGTAAGATACGGAGGGCATAGATCTGGTAGAGCTGAAATGAGCCTTAGATATCATCATTCCTATATTCCTCATTTCACAGATCCCATGGGAGTAGAAGAGGTGTGATCAGGTTGCCCAGCTGGTTAGCAGAAATGCCAAGATCCAGGCTCCTGAATTTCAGCCTGGCCCTTTCTATCTGTCTGATACCTCCTTTAGGAGTCTTTCTGCCTCGGTTGGGTGGAGCGGGGCTGTTGCTGGTTGGGGGAGTTTGCAGGTTGCCCCTGTTCCACAGGATGCATGACTGGGCATGTGAGGTGTTCAAGAAAGCCAGGAAAAGGTGGAACAGACTGCTACCTCTGTCTGAAGTGGTTTGGAGGGAAGGCCTCAGGGACAGGGCATACCTAGCAGTAGCTGGCAAGCCCATGGGAGAAAAGGCAAGGGGGCAACCATCTGCCAGGACACAGAGGCCAGTGGATGGCCACAAGTAGTCTCCAGAGGCCAGTGGGAGTCACGCAAACTGGAACGGGGCCTGGGAAAGGCCCTTCTGTGTGCCCAGGCCTGCTCCCCCAACACCGTGAGCCTACAAACAAAGGGACCATTCTCTCTAGGATTTGATGCTGCCATCTCCGGCTGGCAGTGCCAGGTGGTGGGGGCATCGGGGGTGTCAATCCATTATCCCCCCCCAACTCCTAGGTCCTCTGGGGCTGGATGTTGGGGAGGTGGGTGTTCCATGCTATGTTGCCACGGCAACCTCCCCCCCACTCCCAAAGTACAAAGAGAGACAGTTTTCACCCCCACCCCCAGAAAGAACCTGGGTCTGGCTGGGAATCTTCCCCTGAGAATCCTCCTTTCTGATGCACAAGCCATGGCATGCATAAGCGTCACCCTCTTTTCAGCACTGGAAGCTGAGGGTTCTGCCATCGGCAGGCCACATAGGCAAGGAAGCTAGTGCATGCAGTGTCTCTGGGCAAGGTAATGCAAGTGAGCACCAGCCCCTTATACTTAACCCCCTCTCTTCCCAAGCTCGCCTGCCCCTCACCTACCACAGCCAAGGACATCCCAGGACTTCTCAGCTGAAGCGATGGGGCTTTGACCTTCTACTCTTCCCCAGAAGTGAGGGACACCCGGCTACCTCCAGCAAACCTCCAGGCTGTGGGAACAGAGAAGAGGAGGGGGCCATTCCTGCCACCCTCCATCTGCACCCTCCGCCATTACTCATTAGGCATTCTGCCCCCTCCTTCCGCTCGTTAAGCCTGATTTGCATACATTTGCATAATACAGTTCATTTGCATTCCAGGAGGCTCATGGTAGAAGCCAGGAAAAAAGGGGAGGGGGGCTGGAGAAGAGAAAAAAAGGGAGAGATTTTGTTTTCATCAAAGTGTTGGGGGAGGGACTAGGGGGAGGTGGCAGGAAGAGGACAGAAATAAAAACTTACACTACTTTCTTTCTTTCTGCCCTCCCTCCCTGAGCTGGACTCAAATGCCAAAGAGAGATGCCAAGGGGCCAGCTTTTCTGTCCTTTTTTGTCTTGCTTCCTCCGGCCTTGGCTCCCCAGCCTGGCCCCCCACTTTGTTGGGCTGAGGCTTCGGAAAGAAAGAGGCAGGGGTAGGAGGCAAAGCTGTGGGAACGGAAGCGGAGGGTGAGGGAGGCCGCCATCTTAGGTAACTGGCGCCTGTAAGATGGCTGCCTGACCAGGTGTGCACTGAAAGCCTGCTCTGGTTAGTGGACATGGAAGAGACTGAGGCCCTAAGAAGGACTTCCTGGCTGACCAGAAATACTGCTGAATCTTCCTGCTAATGGAATTGGGAAGAGAGGATGGAGAGAGAAGGAAGGAGGGAAAGACCAGGAATGGCGGCCCCCAGAAAAGATGTAAGGTTGAGCACAGGAGCAGGGGTGGTAGAGAGGCCTCAGCACGTGGCTTAGTTCCCAGAGGGCTTAGAGGACTGTGAGTAATAAGAAAAGTGCTGGAGGAATCAGAATGGGGAATATCAGCAGGAGAAGTGAGAGGGTAGGATGTGGCCAGGCAGTATCATTTGCCAGTTTGAGGGTCTCTCTGGGGCCTGTGAAAGGTGACTGTGTACTTGAGGAAATGCTCCACCTTCTCTCCTCAGCCCAGCACTCTGGTTTCCATCTTTATAACTCTGGTAAAACTGCACCCTTTCAGAGGCCACTCATAGCCTCCTCAACAAAGACCTCTGGCCCTTCCCAAGCCCCGTCCTCCTTGACCTATGGAAAATTTTATGCTATTTTCTCAGTCTTTTCCTTTGACCTTCGGTTATTCTGTTATATCCATGATCATCTGTTCTTGGTTCCATTCATTCAGTTCTCCAGATGGACCAGTTCCTTAACTAGAAGTGGTCCCCAGGTTCTGCTGGTAGCACTTTGTTTTCTCTTCCTTCTCACTCTTCTCACCACTTTTATCACTTCAGCCATCACTTGAAGTTATAAATTCTCCCTCCTTTCTTTTTTTTCTTTTTTTCTCTCTTTCTTTCTTTTTTTTTTTTTTTCTTTTTGAGGCAGAGTCTTGCTCTGTCACCCAGGCTGGAGTGCAATGGTGCAATCTCAGCTCACTGCAACCTCTGCCTCCCAGGTGCAGGCGATTCTTCTGTCTCAGCCTCCTGAGTAGCTGGAATTACAGGCATGTGCCACCACACCAGGCTAATTTTTGTATTTTTAGTAGAGACAGGGTTTCACCATGTTGGCCAGGCTGGTCTTCAACTCCTACCTCAGGTGATCCACCCTCTCTGGCCTCCCAGGGTGCCAGGATTATAGGTGTGAGCCACTGCACCCAGCCTCTCTCCCTCGTTTCTTTAGTCTTGACCTGTTTTTT